CGGCGAGCGTCAGCGGCCCGCCCAGCCTGGTCCCGGGAAGAGGGGGTGGGCTGGGGGACATCGGGTGGGTGGCTCGGTGCCGTGCCAGGTGCAGGGTCTGCTGGCTGGGTGCTGGCAGGCTTGCACCTGGCACGGGCACCGTATCCAGCCCGTGCCCCTTTAAGGGGTCCGGGGCCGGGAGGGGGGCAGACGAGTTTCCCTGGTGTTGGCCAGAGTGGCCACCAGGGAAACCTGGGGAGAGCTAGCCTCCCACTAGTTCGAATTAAGGGTCTACACAGCCCTTAATTCGAACTAGTAAGTTCGAACTAGGCTTAATTCTTGTAAAATGAGGATTACCTAGTTCGAACTAAGCGCTCCATTTGTTCGAATTAAATTCGAACTAACGGAGCGCTAGTGTAGCGCCTATGAAAGTTAGTTCGAACTAATGTCTGTTAGTTCGAACTAACTTTGTAGTGTAGACATACCCTTCTAGACTTCAGCGGCCAACTGGTCTGCATCCATCACGCTGTCTTGTGAATATCTACTGGTGATAGCAATAATGCTGCAGTGTACTTACGAAAAATGACACATACAGTACACTAACTGCATGCATTTGAAATGCATCACCCTTCTAGACTTCAGCGGCCAACTGGTCTGCATCCATCACGCTGTCTTGTGAATATCTACTGGTGATAGCAATAATGCTGCAGTGTACTTACGAAAAATGACACATACAGTACACTAACTGCATGCATTTGAAATGCATCTGCAGTGTAATTCGAAGGCTTGGCCTTTGTGCCATTGCACACTGGGTTGGAAAGGGTCCAGAGAGCCTTTCATCCTTGCAGAGCCCTTGTTGGGGCCAATCAGAATTGCTGTCACTGTGCTGCAGGGAAGGCAAAGACTACTCCTTCCCTGCTTCCCTAGGGATGGCTGGGGATATGTGCACCTGAGATCTGCAGTTAGCATGGACCCATGTTTTTATAGTGTTCTCATTAACCCTTCTGTGAATAAAAACAACTCCCCAAACAGGAAGATGTGCAGTGTAGGTGCTGTTGCTGCTGCTGTTGGAAACAGCTCCAACCTGCTTTTGGATGAGGCTGTGGGATCCCACACTACCAGGACTTTGGGTTTTGTGCAGGGGGCCAGGATTTGGCATGCTGACGAGATATAAAACATTATCATTATACAGAAAAATACAAGTTACTGAAAGGCAGTAATCCAGTGAATGCTGTGTGCACATCTGCTCCCTTTATATGGACTGAAGGCAATGTTAAAATGAATTGCTGCTTTTCTGAAGAGAGAAGTATTTGTAGTCATCAGATTCGGTCTCCGCTCTAGTAGTGCTATCATACTGTGCTAATACTTAACTCTGCCATTAGGACGTATGCTTTAAATGAATTCCACACTCAAATTTTTATGTGACCAATTAAAGACTTTCTCAAAGGTCATTAAAATCCACATTCCACTTTCAGGTTCAGCTGAGAACTGGATGTAGCTGTTAAAAGGACACAGCTGCAGTGTAGAATTTCATTTCTCCTTCTCCTGCATTAGTATTCTTAAAGGAAGCAGCCATACTGTTTGGCTGTGTCTAGATTGGCAAGTTTTTCGCAAAAGCAACTGCTTTTGCGGAAAAACTTGCCAGCTGTCTACACTGGCTGCTTGAATTTCCGCAAGAACACTGACTTCCTATGTCTGAAATCAGTGCTTCTTGCAGAAAGACTATGCTGCTCCCGTTTGGGCAAAAGCCAGTGTAGACAGCTCAGATTTGTTTTGCTCAAAAAAACCCCGATCACGAAAATGGCGATCGGGGCTTTTTTGTGGAAAAGTGCGTCTAGATTGGCATGGACGCTCTTTTCCACAAATGCTTTTAACGGAAAACTTTTCAGTTAAAAGCATTTGCGGAGAATCATGCCAGTCTAGACGTAGCCTTTTTGTAGCTTAACTTCACATCAACCCATCTCAGGAGTTTTGGAAGACAGATGATGTCACGAGACACTGCAGGGTAATTCTATCACCGACAAATGTCTTTCACCCTTCCTGGCGTAGGAACAGAGCCCCTCTAGCAGGGATAGAGTTCATTCAGTGGGAAGAACCATTTGGTGCTCTCCTCCTGGCTGGGCTCTGCATGGCAAAGCTGGTGTTCACACTGCAAGCACAAGGAGAAGAGCAATGTGAACCAGTGCTTCACTGGCAGCCCTGTCTTCTCCCTAGCCTCTGGTCCTAAGGGCAGAGAGAAAAACAGTGGAAAGGGGCTGTTAGTTTAGATTGGTTGAATGGAAGATTCTGGGCATGGCGTAGGGGAACAAAGAGCAGTGTCCCATTATTTCCCCATGAAATGTGACCCTTGCCCGTTATTATGGATTGAAAAACAAATCTGGGTTTTATCACTTCTGAAGCAAATAGCTAAAGCTACTGAAAGTCAATGCAAAGGGCCCATTTTAACTCCATGCTTACAAATCCTTTTCTTTCTCTTAGGTGGTATACTTCTCCGCTACTTATCCATATGTCATGCTAATTATCCTGTTCTTCCGTGGAGTGACACTACCTGGAGCAAAGGAAGGCATTTTATTCTATATCACTCCTAACTTCAGTAAGCTTTCTGATTCTGAGGTAAACATTTAATTCTTGTAAACAAAAGTTCCATGTGAATTGCTCACCATTACAAAAGCACCTGAGCAGCCACACAAGTTTCTGTCTAAACATAGTGAAAAAATATGTTACTTTCTGCAATTAGGTCTGGCTGGATGCTGCTACGCAAATTTTTTTCTCGTATGGTTTGGGTCTTGGTTCACTGATAGCTCTTGGAAGCTACAACCCTTTCCACAACAACGTTTACAGGTAAACATATTGTTATATATATTACAGTAGCACTTAGGCATCTTTACTGAGATCAGGACCCCACTGTGTTGGGAGCTCTACAAATACATACTAAGAAACATTTCCAGATCCTAAAATCAAATAATCTAAATAGGAAAGACCAAAATAGTATCCCCACTTTACTACTTTCTGTGACTTGTACAGAGTCACATAGAAGGTATATCACAGAATCCAGATGTGATGAGTCAAGTGCCTTAACCTTAGGCACCCTTCCTCTCAACAAAGATAATAGAAAATACAGGAATGTAACCAGTATTGCTTTATTTATTAGTCTAATGCACCTCTTCCTTTGTTTCAGGGATTCCATCATAGTGTGTTGTATAAATTCATGCACAAGTATGTTTGCTGGCTTTGTCATCTTTTCCATTGTTGGATTCATGGCTAATGTCACAAAGAGGCCTATTGCAGATGTTGCAGCATCAGGTAGGCAACCTATTTCTTTAAGCAGTTCAGTTACATCCATTAATCTGCTTACAGCAATATACATTATACAATATACTTTCTACAATATACTTTATCGAACTATTCTGTTTAATTACTTGTTGGCAATATAGGCTTACAAAATTTTAAGGCTTCCCTAAGAGCAAGATTCCCATGATGATTTCACTTTGTGGTAGCCTTGAACATGTTTTGAAAGCTGTTTTAAATAATATTTTCACAATGTACTACTGCCAAGATTTATAGCAGCTTAAATGATTCAATAAAGGGCATATGAAAGGATTTAACTAGTAAATGTTGAGACAGCTGGAAGGTTGCAATGAAACAGGTAACTTTGGAAATAGACTGATATAAATGAAGTGTGTACCAAAACCAGGTTACTTTTTTGTAAATGTGGACCACAATGTTTTTAAATATAATTTTTTAAAATATATATTTCCTGCTGCTTTTTCCTCCCCATAGCAATATTTAAATCTGTTTTGAATAAAAACTGTCACAACTGGAATTTAAGGGACCATTTTTATAAAGGGTTTTAATTTTAAATAATTTTCATTTAAATTTAAAATGGTCCCTTATTTTCCAGTTATATTCCAGTTGTGCCTAAAATCCAATTTCAAAAATAAATACTATTTTAAACTAGAATAATATTAACAAGGAATTATTTTGAAATGCCTGTATACAGCCATTTCAAAATGAACTGTTAGCGATGGGAAGCTAACGCATATGTTTTGTCATTTGTCTATTGTTGCTTTATATTGGCGTCCTAACTGGTACCTTTTCAATGAAAAGAACAACAGTTTGCTATCAAGCAGGGCTAATCACCCGATGCCTGTGGATCACCCAGCAAGGCTCAATTATAGCCCAATTACAATTACATCCTATATCTGGGGTGCCCAAGATGTCAATCACAGTCGATCGGTTGATAGCAAGCAGTCAACTGGTGGATCACGAAGCAGAACAGTAGCCTGCTTCCCTGGCTACCTGGGAGGGCTATAGTGGAATCAGCCCCTGACTGTCCATGATGCAGCTACAGCAGCCCAGCCTAAGTCATGGGAGGGGTTGGTGGCTGCTCCGCTCTTGCCATAGTGGCTCAGCCCTGCCCCTGGCCTCACTCCTGGGGGAGGGAAAGGAAATCAGCCCCTGCCTTCCCACGGCTGGCCAGAGCACAGGGGAGGGAGGCTTGGGCAGCATGCCACCCCTGTCTTCCCCCGGCAGGCCAGAAGACGGGGGAGGGAGGCTGGGGCAACTAGGGGGCAATTTGGAGGACCATTGGGGGGATGCATTCACACCCTTTACTCACACACCCTGCATACAGGCCTGTTGTGAGTGATCTGTGATTGAAAAATAAGAGCAGTCCTAGGCCTTGTCTACTGTGCCCCATAGTTTGAACCATGGGAGTGGGAAAAGCAACACATAACAAAGCATTGCATGGTAGCTCCCCTGGGTAGAGGCTGCAGGTGTTGATTGCAAGGTTTCTTGTTTTCATTAACATAGTCCTTTTCAAACAGCTTATGCTGACAGCATCCACATATTGCAGCATTTTGGTGCACACACTCATAATCCAAACTGCAGGGAAGTGTGGCCATTGCCTTATCGTCTTCATAGGTAGTCTGAGCATCTCTGTAACACCAGTTGGGTAATACTTTTCCTGTAATAAGTAATTTACAACATAAACTACTACTGCTTGTACATTCAAAGGTACTTTAGGGTTATAAGAAATTAGTTATCAGTTTCAAGTGAATCTGGATGTTCTATTGAGTAAATCTCAGTCAATTCATGTTTTGCACTGAAACTGGATGAGTCAGTTTTTTCATAGTTTTGACTAAAAATCAAGTGAGTTTTGCTTTGAAATTATCAGGTTCTTGACAGTCTAAAAAATAATGAAGCAGATCATTGAGTAGCTGCAGCTGTTAAAACTGACTGCAGTATTTAGCTTCCATCTGTGTTTGCACTTTCTGAGATCTTTGCTTTGAAATGCAAACATTCTCAAAGCAAAACTTGGAAGTTCTTCTTCAAGTAATGTCCCCATGGATGCTCCAATGTTGGTGTTGGGCTCATCCCGGAACCACAGACAGTGTCTGGCCAGGATGCTCATGTGTGGTGGGAGGGATGCATGCTGTTTGTGCCTTGGAGCTTGCACGTGCAGCCCACCTGCCCTCAGTTTATTCGTTACTACCCCCGGTCACAGATGGAATTCGAACTTCTCTCCTCCTTCCGATTCCTAGAATTAACATTTTTATTAGAATTAATTGATATAGAGCTGATAGTTGTTATGCTCCAGTAACTTGTTAGTTGTTATAAAAAAAAAGGTTTTGCTGTAAATAGTTGCTTCAGTGTTTCTGAGGGAGCCGTGCCAATAGTCTCCAGCGATGGTCCCTTCAGCCTTAATTTAAAAAAAGGTGAGAAGAGAAGGAAAGAAGAAACCCTGCTTTGCAGAGTAAAGAAAGAAAGAAAGAAAGAAAGAAAGAAAGAAAGAAAGAAAGAAAGAAAGAAAGAAAGAAAGAAAGAAAGAAAGAAAGAAAGAAAGAAAGAAAGAAAGAAAGAAAGAAAGAAAGAAAGCTCTGTTGACAACATGCCTAGCTCTCTGGGTTTTAAGACGTGAAAAATGGCATGACCCTATGCTCGCTTCTGATGGCCACGGGTCGTGCATACGCTGTCTGGGCCCATATTCCCCAGAAATGTGTACACTGCTGAAGCCTTACTGCCAGAGCCCACAAAGACAGGGAACTCAGGCTGCATATGCTGCTTTTTGACAAGGCTGTGAAGCCTCAAACCACCAGGGACAAAGACAGCCACCTTGACAAGGCTAACAGGAAGTCTAAAGACTTGGAGCTCTCGCTGCCCAAGTCTCCCCAGCCTGCTTCTTACCTCCAAGAATGAGTTCGGGAGACAAGCCAGGCACCTTGTGTGCCACCCAAAAGTTGATACCATCCTCTTTGGCACTGAAAAAGTCTGATACCTGGGAACAGGAAACCGGCAGCACCAACAGCACCAGCTCCTCGGTGGCTCCGCAGACAATGGCGGCACCAGTTAAGACCTTGGCACCAGCAAAAGCAAAATCTAAATCTGCCAAGCCCTTGCCTCACACACAGAGCCCAGAACCACAGCTGTCTCCACTGGCACCGATGCCCCAACCATTGGCACTGAGTTCTGCAGCACCACAAAGTCTTCCTCCTGACCACCACCACTCTGTCTTACGTTCCTGCGATTACCGGGAGCCATCACTGATTGTAGATCCACGTCAGAGAAGTCCACATCCTTCTCCTCCAAGACACCATTCTCATTCCCTTTGTCAATAAGAAGTTCCCCACCTTGCTCACTGGTGTTATCCCACGACAGCACCTACGACAATGATCAGAGCACTTTGTTTTCTTCCCATCTTTCTTCTCCTGCCAGAACATGTGTATCTTACTACAGACACCAACCATGCAATGACCATCACCCTTCCTTTTACCAGGACTGGTCCTACCACTCATGTTACTCCCCTCACTGGTCCCCATGTTGCTTTTGGGCACCTCCATGACACTGACGAATGGTACCATCACTGTCAGTTCCTAGGTCCATACCTGCCTCTCACACTTGTTGCTCTCCCCAGCCAACTGAGGACATTGAGACAGAGGATGGCCTAATTACTGAGGATGCAGAACAACCTGACATTTCCCCAGTTGACAAATCCTCTTCCTCACCAGACAAGGCTGTCATCCCAGATGATCCATTATCCACTGATGACCTGAAAGAGTTTCATGATCTATTCAAAAGAGTCACCACTAGCCAGGAGGTGGTATTATCAGTAGTTCAGGAGAAACAGCATAAGCTCCTGAAGAACCTTCAGCACGGCTCAAAATCAAGAATTGCCCTCCCAATCAATGAAGTAATTGTGAAAGTGGCAGATGAGGTTTGGCACACACCAGCCTCAGCCCCTCAATGAACAAGAGGGCTGATAGAAAATATTTTGTGCCATCCAAAAGCATGGACTTTTTATTTCTATACCCACAACCAAATTCACTGGTTATGGACGCAGCACAGCATAGAGCCCAAAACCCCCAATACAAATCCGCTCAAAAAGAAAAAGAGCACAAATTCCTGGACTTATTTGGTAGGGAAGTATACTCCTCATCCACATTACAACTTAGAATAGCCAACTACACTGCCTTACTCGCCAACCACAATTTTGATAACTATAAAAAGACACACTGAGTTTATGCCATACCTCCTGCGTGGCAAGAGACCAATCCTAAAATCAATAGTTTAAGAGGGTTACACTACAGCACACCTTCAAATGGCTCTTGATTCTGCTGATACAGTTGCAAGAGTGACGGCTACTTCCATTGTCATGAGGCGATAATCATGGCTTCAAGCGACGGTGGTCCCCTAGGATTTTCAAAACAAAGAGGAGGACCTCTCCTTTTGGCAAAGATAAACATTTTGCAGCTAAAACTAATGAGATCCTTCACTCTAGCAAGGACTCTCACACAACATTGTGTACTCTAGGGTGTATCTGCCCCCATATTGAAGGAAGCACTATACACCCTACCAAAGACAACATGAGTTCTCTTATGGCATACAACAGCAAAGGCCATTTGACCAACCTCGCGCTAAGCCTAGAAATCAACGCCGATTAATCCCAAACAACCGCCCATCTGCTCACCAAGTCTCTAAACAGCAGGTTTGAAGCTTTGGTCAAGAGCCAGTGGTACCTCTCCACCCAAACGCAACATTTTCCACCACTGTTTATGCCCCTTTCTCAATCAGTGGGTGACGATTACCATGGACTATTGGGTATTAGAAATCATCAAATGCGGATACTCCCTCCTTCTTACCACCATTCCGCTAACCTCCCCACCCTCCCCATCCCTCTTCAGGGACCCCCTCTCACAAAATACTCCTCTGTTGAGAGGTAGAACTTCTCCACATAGGAGCCGTAGATTAGGTGCCCGAAAGATATCAGAGCAAGGGATTTTATCCAAATTACTTCCTCACAGAGA